TATTGTTTGGGGCTTTCTTTTTATATGATTCTAGAGATATTTTTTCACTAAAGAGGGTGATTCTCTGTTCTGATCAACAGATTTAACTTTATCTCCCCTTACTGTGTACTTTCTTTCCCACAATGCATCTGATTTTAGTTATATGCACACCCAATTATATTTAGGAACAAGCTGGTTGTTGTGGAATATTAGCTAAAGATGTGTTACATTCTCTTATGCTTTGGAATATTTGTTCAATGATGCAAAGGTGTGTTGCATTCTTTTATGTTGCATTTGTTTATCTCTGTAAAGCTGTGTTACTTTGCCTGTCTAAAATGCCTGACTGGTCTAATAAAGAGTGAACAGTCAATAGCCAGGCAGGAGAGAGATATAGGTGGGGCCGTCAGGCAGAGAGAATAAATAAGAAGAGAAGAGAGAAGAGCAGGTTGAGCCAGAAAAAGGAGAGGAGGACACCAGGGGCCAGCCACACAGCCACACAGCCACACAGCCACACAGCCAGCCACACAGTCACACAGCCAGCCACACAGCCACACAACCACACAGCCACACAGCCACACAGCCACACAGCCACCCAGCCACACAGACACACAGCCACACAGCCACACAGCCACCCAGTCACACAGCCACACAGCCACACAGCCACACAGCCACACAGCCACACAGCCACACAGCCAGCCACACAGCCACAGAGCCACACAGCCAAACAACTACACAGCTACACAGTCACATAGCCAGTCATGGAGTAAGAAGGAAAGAGAGGCATACACAATAGAGAAAAGTAAAAGCCCAGAGGCAAAGGTAGATGGGATAAGTTAGTTAAGAAAAGCTGGCTAGAAGCAAGTCATGCTAAGGCCAGGTATTCATAAGAGTAAGTCTCCATGTATTTATTTGGGAGCTGGATGGTGGGCTCCCAAAGAGCAAAGAGTAAAAGGACCAACTAGAGATGGTTAAATAGGAGATTCTCTCTACAAGTTCACTTGTTAGAACAGTTTTGCCTCACTGGGTTTGCACCCCAAACCAGTTTAGACTGAATCATCAGTCTCTTCATGATTCCTACCCTGATACACTGGGAATAACCACAAGTAGAAACTATCCAAAATGGATTGTCTTAGGGGTGGAAAAACTTACACGGAGGAGTGTGTATAGTCTGCTGCGGGTGGGGATGTGAGGGAGTTCTCAGGTTGCTAGGTGCATTGTTTGGAGAGGGGTGCAGTAAATGCAGGTGAAGAAACTGGTCCATTTGGAGTTTACTCTGGGGAACCAATGTCTTTATTAGGCTTGCTTACAGAGCAATGGGTGAGAGGTTATGGGCAGGAGTGTGGGGTAGCCTTAAAACAGCCACGTAAGAAAGTCTGAATCCAGCAGGGATGGACTCCCCCATGGATGTATAGACAGAGCTTTCTCCCCCATCCTTCCTAGCCTACATACTTCTGCCCCTCCCCAAGGCTGCAGGCTGATTTCTGACATTCTGTTGGTGGCAGGTTTCTTGAAGGCCTGGGCCTGTTCTATGACTGTGGTTTTAGGATGGAGGGTTTCCTTTAGGTTTTGTGTGTTCAGGCATGTCCTTGATTCCCTGGTCCCTCACCTGCCTCACTTTTCATGAGCTAGAATGACAAACATGAACCACCACAGTTGTAAAGTTGGGAATTCTTAAAGTATTTGGAGAAAACAGTTATACTGTCTTCCCTATGGCAAAGAATTATGCCATCATTCACCCAGGAGCTGTGGTTAGAAACTTGGGAGTTTTAAATGACAGGTGATACTGTTTCATTTAATGTGGTATTTTGAAGTATCTGATATACATACATACATACATAGTAAAAGCATGCTTTGCTTCACACTAGTTTTTAAGGTTGCAAAAAATTATGTGTATACAAATGTGTCTCTGTGTGGATTTGTGCACATGAATACAAGGTTCATAGGGCCAGAAAAGGGCATCAGAACCCCTGGAGCTGGAGTTATAATGACATGGGTGCTGGGAACTGAATTTGGCTCCTTTGCAAAAGCAGTGTGAACTCTTCGTGTTACTGTGTCTCCAGGTTCAGGGTTATTGTAGTTAACATCCACTATCTGTTTTTCAAAAGATATAATGTACTGTTATTGTGAGTGTCAGCCACTCAAAAGAGCTCTTGAACTACCCTACTGTAATATATAAACTTCGACTAACACCTCTCATCTTCCAGTTCCCCTTATCCTCCAACTGTTTTGGGGATGGTAGATTCAATTCTCTCCTTCATGAGATCAACATTATCGGATGACATCACGCTGTATTTGTCTGGGTGGCTTATTTCACTTGATATAATATCCTCTAAGTTCATCCACATGTTTGCAAATGATATGATTTTGTTCTTTATTGTTGCTGAATAGATATTCTGTGTCCTATTCAGCCATATTCTTTATTCATTCTGTTGATGGAAAATCAGCTTGATTCCCCATCCTGGCTACTGTTAACTATTGCTATAATGAACATGGTGGCACAGATGTCCCCTCAGCACATTGATTTCACTTCCTTTAGATATATACCCAGCAATAAGACTCCTGGATCATGTGGTACTTCTAATTTTAGCATTTTGGGGCGCCTACATATGGTTTTCCATAATCACAGTATAAATTAACATTTTTTTTCAAGACAGAGTTTTTCTGTGTAGCTTTGGAGCCTATCCTGGTATTCGTTCTGTAGACCAGGCTGGCCTTGAACTCACAGAGATCCGCCTGCCTCTACCTCTGGAGTGCTGGGATTAAAGGCATGTGCCACCAACGCCTGGTCTAAATGTACATTTTTGTTAGTGTGTAAGGGCTCCCTTTTCTCCATACAAGAGTCTCTTGTTTTTCTGAGATATACTCTATGGTAGTCTTGAGCCCACTAGAGAGCAAGGGCTAGCCTTGACCTTATGACCTTATGATCCTCTTGTCTCTACCTCTTAAGTGCTAAGAATACTGACATAGAGCTGGGTGTTGGTGGCACACACCTTTAATCCCAGCACTCAGGAGCTGAGGCAGTCGGATCTCTGTGAGTTCGAGGCCAACCTGGTTTACAGAGTGAATTCCAGAACAACTTCCAAAGCCACAGAGATACCCTGTCTCGGAAAAAAAAAAAAGAATACACCAATGACCCAGGTTTTTTTGTTTTGTTTTGTTTTGTTTTTTTTTCAAGACAGGGTTTCTCTGAATTGTTTTGGAAGCTGTCCTGGAACTCGCTCTTGTAGACCAGGCTGGCCTGGAACTCACAGAGATCCACCTGCCTCTACCTCCCAAGTGCTGGGATTAAAGGCGTGCGCCACCACCGCCCAGCATGATCCAGGTTTTTCAAGTCAGTTTAAATTTCTGTTTTCTTGGCCCTTACATCCAATCCACCCACTAATCTTAATGAGTTTTCTTTCAAAGTGTGTTTTATATTTGTCCATGTTTCACAAAGCCAGAGATGACTGCCCTCATCCAAGCCTTTTGCTTAGATTACCATAGTGATTTTGATTTAATAGTTCTTGGGGCAGTTTTGACACATGCTCAGTGGATTCTGCTGATCTGAGATTATTCGTTGAAAGCCATGGTTTTGGAGGATTCATTACAATTACCTGGGGTGCTAAAAAACCACTTTACATGGGCCTGGCTGTATCTCTATCTACAATATGAGCATCTTGAGCTCAGGCACCATTTTTAGCTCACGGCTTTATCCTGGGTGCCTCAAAGAAGTTCGTGGCACACAAAAGTGCTTATGATATGTGAATGAAAGAGAAGGTAAAAACCGTGAATGCTTTCTGATTTCTTTTGAACTAGATCTATTCAAATGTGTTCCTTTCAACCATATTGTCATCAAACGTGCTGTTATGCAAGTGAATTGGATCATCCACTAAAAACGAATAAGTTGATTTCTAAATTTATTTCGTTCAGCTCACTTTGTTCACAGGAACTGTATACTAAATCTTGTGCAAAGCAACTAATCCCTTAAGATATTTTTATATGCATTTGTTCACAATGTTGCTTCTTAGTTGGAAGGCAGCTCACACAGTAGGTTATCTGGGAATGGGTAGGCCATATTTATTCAAAGTCCAGAGTGCTAACCATTACACCACGAGACCTCCTTTAGGGTAGGGCATATTTATTAAATGAAAAGATTCCTTAGATTTTTGTGTGAGTGGAGACATGAAGACAGGGAACAGATATTTGTAGAAAAGTCTTGTGGGAAACAACAGAGTTTCGGGGGAACTTGCAAGCCTTGACTTCTCAAGGAGTTAAGTGCTGATGCCCCCTTTTGTGTGGGGGCACCTCTTGTATTAACGGATGTGGCAGAACTAGGGAGTTTTAATTTCAAGTGGAAGGAAAGTGCTTAAGATTACTAAAGTACCTTGTTTCTCAGAAGTAAGCTCATTCAAATGTGGCAAAATCTTCAGTTGTGGGTCATATGTCACTTGAATTCACGGAAACAGCTCAACAAAACTTGCTAAGCAGGTAGGTGAATTAAGGGCACAGATGTCCCTAAGTCAATCACCAGTTACTTCTAATGTATATTATCTATGAAGGCATACCATCTGTTGCTGGGGGGGGGAGAGGAAAAGGCTTTTCATAGTCTGACATCTTTCCATCTGGGGGATTTATTTCCTCACAAGTATCCAGCCTTTGCCAGTGGCAATAGGTTGGGTTCAAGTGTAACCAGTTTTTCAAGCAACCACCTTCCGCTTTCCCTCTTGCTAACTAAAAACAAATTTGCATTTGGATTAATGGCTGAAATGACACTGGCGCCTCGACATAGCCTAGTAAGGGAGACAGCGCAAGGCACAGGATTTTCGAGAACACTAGCCAGCAGTCTTCAGAGGTGGTGGCTCCAGAACACCAAAGGCACAGGGGACGGGAAAAGGAGAGCAAGGCGAAACCCTGAGCACTGTTGAGTTCTGGGAGTTGTAGTTCCTCATTGGGCAGAGACCGGCAGCTTGCACCGAGCTTCGCACTCCATTTCCCAGAAGGCCCCGCACAGCGGCAGAGTCGACGCGGAGTGGGTGCCTGGTGATGAGCTGCTGCGGGAGGGGGCGGGGAGCGGAGGAGCAGCTGCGGCGGTCTCGGGGAGCGGTTGACATCTGGCGTCTCCGAGGGCCGAGGGGACCTCACGCTAGCTACAGCTAGGGCCTTGCGGCCACCGGGCCACTTCCAGCTCACGCTTTCCCCTTCGGTGTCCGCCATGGCAGCGCGTCCGTTCGCCGCCGGCCTCTGCACGCCGTGACCCCCGGCTCCCCCGAGCGATGAGGCGGTAGTGGCGCCTCGCGGCCCGCTCCTCCCGCGACTCGGTCGCCCCGGCCGGGGAGCAGGTCTGCGGGCCGTCCCCGCCGCGGTCCGCCCCCGCACCGCCCAGCCCCGCCCCCTGGGGGCGCTGCCCTCGGGCTCCCGCCGCCCATGCTGCCCATGCCTCCCAGCCGCTCTGCCGCCCGCCGCTGAGCCCGCGCCCACCCTCAGGCTCTCAAGATGTGGCACAACGTGGGGCTGACCCTGCTGGTGTTCGTGGCCACGCTGCTGATCGTCCTGCTGCTGATGGTGTGCGGTGAGTGGGGGCAGCGCCTTGCGGGGGAGGAGGGATCGAGAAAGTGTGCGTGGACAAGTGTCTTGGAGCTCACGGTGGTCACCTGGCCTCCCAAGATCGAGCTGAGAGGATCCATGCCTCCTGCTTAGGGCAGATCGCCTGGGCATCACGGAGGAAAGCTCAGCATTCAGGACTGGTATCCTGACTCTAGGTAGAAGCACGTTCCTGCTTCCCGGACAGGTTTGTCCTTGGTTGCCATTAATGCCACGGTCTCCGTGGCCCGTAATCGAAGGACGAGTGATTGGTTTCTCTTTATTTGGAGACTCCGAGCCTGGTGAGAGATTTCACCACATCCAGTGAACCAGGAGTTGGAGCACGCTTGGGTTTCTAGTGCACGTGAAGTTGTTTGTTTACTTCGAGTTCAGGCTTTAACCAAATTCCGAGCAGTTGTGCTACCAGGCAGAGCCTAAAGACACTAATAAACATACAGGGTCCGGTAACCTAATTCTTGGTTCTGCTGTAATGGGGCGGTTTGGTTTGCTGCGTGTATTTTCCTTCTCAGAATGAGAGGACGTTAAACTGTTCTCAAGGCATGTTTCGTTATGCACAGTAGCTGATACCACAGGTCTCAGCATAGAGGTCAAACCATTGTGAGAGTCTGGAAAGTATTTCAGATAGATGCCAGCGAGCACTGCTATTTACAAGACCAAAGTATGGGTTTGATGTGAGGGAGTATTTGGTTACAATTTTATAAATACCGTAGAGCTTATTATTACATAGTCAATGCTCAGCCCAGTGAATGTAATTGGAAGAGATATGTACGCACTTGTATTTAGATAGGTGTATTTAATTTTTGTCAGCAGTGCTGATTGAACCAAGGACCACACATATGCTAAACACATGGTGAACTGTTGCACTGATCTCCAACCCTAAATATAGAGTTAAAAGTCTTTTTTTTTTTTTTTTTTGAGACGGGGTTTCTCTGTATTTTTTTTTTTTTTTTGAAGCCTGTCCTGGAACTCGCTCTGTGGAAGAGGCTGGCCTTGAAGTTACAGGAATCCCTCTGCCTCTGCCTCCCGAGTAATGGCATTAAAGGTGTGGGCCACCACTGCCCAGCCTTTTTTTTTTTTTAAACAGGATCTCACTATGTAACCTTGGCTGGCCTGCAGTTCCCCATGTAGACCAGGCTGGTCTGAAACTCACAGATCCAACTGCCTCAGCCTCTCAGGTGCTAGGATTAAAGATGTGCTCCATCACACCGGGTCCAGTGTTTCTTTTCTCATGATGTCAAACAGTGAACTAGTCTACTCTCAAGCTTCTGACGTGTGAACAGGTGATTCCAGTAACTGTTGATGTTTAAGACTGTTTTTTTTTTTTTTTTTTTTTTGGTTTTACGAGACAGGGTTTCTCTGTATTGTTTTGGAGGCTATCGGTCCAGCCCGGCCTCGAACTCACAGAGATCCGCCTGCCTCTGCCTCCCGAGTGCTGGGATTAAAGGCGTGCGCCACCACCGCCCGGCTGTTTAAGACTTTTTGTGTGTGTGTGTGAGATGGGGGCCTCAGGTAAACTAGATTGTTATGTGGTGGAGGATGACCCTGAGTTGATGATCCACAGAGCGCTACACCCTGTTTATTCAGTGCTGGGGATAGAAAGCCAGGCTTCTGGCAGGCTAGTAAGCTATGCCCACAGTTTAAGGTTCTTGAAATAAGCATATGCAAACCCTTGAGTGGGTGAAGGAAGGATGAAGCCATGCTACCCTTTCTGCTTGGATTGAGAAGGTGACATACAAACCTACGTCTTGTGTAGGACACTTGCCCAACTTGCTCCATTTTAATTCCTGATGGTTTTCTCAACTTTCAGTGGCCATCAGGCTGCCCCCCCCGCCCTTTTTTTTTTCTGCTGTTGTTTTGAGACAGGGATTCTCTGTGTAGCCATCCTGGAACTCACCTCGTACACCAGACTGGCAGGAGATCACCTGCCTCTGCCTCCCAAGTGCTGGCATTAAAGGTGTGTGTCACCACAGCTTGCTGCAGCCGCCACCAGCTTTACTCGTTTTCCTAAACAGGCCTTGTCATTAATTTCAGAAAACCCAATAGGTAAGAGGTAAGGTACTTTAAAATGAATAGCTTTATAAAGTAGCCTAAACTGTTCTTTGTTGGGAAACTAATGGCAGGGCTGGGCAGACTGACTAGACGTGGGACCTGGGGTGCCATGTTAGTTTGCTGGGCTGCATTGCAGAATACTACAGACTGGCTCACTTAGCCCACAGAAATTTCTCTCTTCTAGTCCTGGAGGCTTGAAGGGCTTTAAAAGAGTGTCTCTTCTTGGCATGGAGATGGCCATCGTTTCCTGGTACTTTCACAGGGTCTTCTCACTGTATGTACCTGATACACCAGTCATTGGATCTGGGCCCTGGCCCTTATGACCTTATTTACTTTACAGACAGAGTCACATTGGGAATTAGGACATGCAGGGGAAGGGATACAGTTCTGTCTGTAACATATAACCTGTCTCTAGCCCTTGCTGAAGGGTAGGAGGTAGCTACATAGTTTAGGCTAAGTAGTTTAGGCATATGCCCTTAAAGTAATTCTTACCTTTCTGATGGCCATTGGCTCTCTTGAGAACCTGGTTAATGTTATGAAAAATTTCCAAGAAAAAAATGTATATGCATTATTTTTCTTTCTTAACAATACTTTTTTTTTTTTTTTGGTCTAATTTAGGGGATTTTGTTAAGCCAGAACAGTGAGTTCAAATTACCAGCCTCTAGCCTCTACCCTATGGACTGGCTGTTCTGTTTTCTGTTCTCATTCTATTCAGCCACATTTCTCTTCAGTGCCTACCAGACACCAAATCAGAATCTGTCAGCAGGTTAACCCCAAGCACTCAAGATTGAGTTTGCTGGAGAACACTGACAAAGCTGTTTCAGTGAATTCTGATTTTTAAATTTCAGGTTCCTAGGGAGGTTTTCCTTCTGTATATCAGCTGTTTCTGTTTTTTCATTCATTCTAAAGTGTTTACCTGTACCATTCAACGGAAGCTGCCCTTTGTCAAGGTGGGTAATAAACGGCTTTCACATGGGCGTTCACTTGCTAGTTAGCCCTCTTCTGTATAATTGAGGGTTCTCCCTGAGAAGCACTTCCGGCTTTCATATATCTCAGTGTTTTCTGTCGGGTGGCTGATACTCATTTCCAAATCCTTTCCCCCAAAAGACAAGGTCTCATGTCTTGATAACCTTCATTGCTACTGTTTCTGTAATTTAGATATTTATTAGCTGAGGTGGTTTTGTTTTCTCTGCTTACCATTTATAACAATTTTTTTGTTGTGTTTTTTGAGACAGAGTTTTTATGTATTGCTTTGGAGGCTGTCCTGGAACTCGCCCTGTAGACCAGGCTGGCCTCGAACTCACAGAGATCCCCTGCCTCTGTCTCCCGAGTGCTGGGATTAAAGGCCACCAACGCCCGGCCGTTTATAACAATTTTTGGTCCAATTAATTCTCAGTTTGGAGTGTGTAAATATTCCCTGCTGGACCAACAGTATAATTTGACCACTTATAGTTTCATTTTGCTTGAACTTAGTGTCGGGATCAGCCGACCTGTTGAACGTGCCTGAAAGGGAGTGAGGATTGAGAAAAGAAATAGACAGAAGACAGAGTTGGGAGGGCTCTCAGTGAATACTGTAGATGCCTCGAATTTATTTCTCATACCCCGTTTATAACCAAAGCAAAGGGGAAGGGCAAAAGACTTCCTTACCATGATACAAGGAACAAACAAGCATAATTATCTCCTTATCCTCAAAACGTCAAGTAGCCATGCCTTTGGCCAAACATCCTGTTATTTGGCCTTGAGGAGCAAGAATAGGTTTGAACTTTCTGACCTTGTGTCAGGATGGAACGGAGTCTCTGTGGGCTCCCACAGCTTAGCAATTGCCTTTTAAGCTTACCCACTATTTTCATATCCAATGCTGTGTATATAACCCAGGTGCCTGGACATGCCAGGCGAGTGATCTCACAGTGAGCTCCGTCCCTAGCCCCAGTGTTTAGTCCTCTGTGTGTACCTATTGTTATTTGTTCTCCCCTCCAGTCTCTAGAATCTATACAGTCATGAGAGATACTTCCCACATGTTCCATCCATTGCTTGTTCCCACCCCTTCCCAGAGCCCCCTTCCTTCTCATACACTGAGATGTGCTGTCTGCTGCCCGGTCCTGGATCTTGGGTCACCATCTTTCTCATAGATTCTTCGTTTGTAGGAGGGAAATTTCTAAGAAAAGGTACTTAAAAAGAATGTTTTGCACTGAGCTGAACTCCTATAATCCAGTTGCAGAGAGGGAGGAATGATGAGCAAAGGGGTCAAGACCAGGCTGGAGAAACCCATAGAAACAGCTGACCTCAACAAGGGGGAGCCCATGGACCCCAGACTGATAACTGGGAAACCATCATAGGACCAACCCAGATGCCCTGAACATGCATGCCAGTTAGAAGGCCTGGGCAATCTATGGGGCCTCTGGCCGTGGATCAGTATCTATCCCTAGTATATGAATGGACTTTGGGAGCCCACTCCACATAGAGAGATACTCTCTCAGCCTAGACAACACCAGGGAGGGCCTAGGCCCTGCTCTAAATGATATGACAGACATTGAAGATCCCCCATGGAAGGTCTCACCCTCCCTGGGGAGCAGAAAGAGGATGGGATGGGGGGTTGGTGAGGGGCAGAGGAGGAGGGAGGGAGAGGGAACTGGGACTGACATGTAAAACAAGCTTGTTTCTAATTTAAATTAAAAAGGAAAAAGAAAAAGAATGTTTTGAACTGCGTGGTTAAAAACTCTTCTGATTTTCAGCCCTGATGTTTAAGAACTCTGAAGTTGTAAACTGTTTTTTGGCTAGACTTAGAAATTATTGCCTGTATTTTCAGCTTCAGGGCTAATTTTGAGAAGTCCGGTGTGTGCTGTGACTTGGTTTCTGTCTCTAGATGCCTTTTTGGATAGCCTTTTCATCACTGGTGTAATGGAATGTCTGGCTTCTTTT